ATGACAAAACAGAATGGAGAAGCTGGGGATGAACCCAGGACATCATACATGCGAAGCATGCGCTCTACCACTGAGCTACATCCCCTGACAAGCTGACCAAGCAGAGTAGATCTCAGTATATCCAATCTGTGAAACGTAATTGCAACACTGGCCCCTGTCTTTCTTCAAAGCAACATAAAGTGAACAAATGTGCATCCATCCCAGAGGGTCTGTTGGCAGTCGTCTCTCCCTGGTGGTCTAGTGGCTATTCGGCGTGGCCCGGGTTCGATTCCCGGTCAGGGAAGAATGCTGTTTTGCACATTCTAACATTATTTGCCAGGATTTTTACAAGTCAAATGGTACAGCAGCAAAAAGGAACAGGCATCGTTCAAGCTAGACTTGAAACACAGCCTAAGAATTACAGCATGTAACAATTCAGTCCTCCGCTCCACCATCTGATCTATCAAAGGTGCATTCCACCAAACAAACCGTACATTTCTAGAAGCATTACAGCCAGTCAAGAAATCCAGTAAACAGAACAAATTCAGTTCAACATGTCAATTTGACTGCATAAAAGCACATACATAACCTGGGAACTGCATTTTACAAGACAAAAAACTTAAGACTTGGCCACATTCACAGCTAACATTCATGATCTTGACATTCCAGAAAGGAGGTTTTTGACAAAACAGAATGGAAAGCTGGGGATGAACATCATCACAGCCTAAGAATTACAGCATGTAACATTCAGTCCTCCGCTCCACCATCTGATCTATCAAAGGTGCATTCCACCAAACAAAGTACATTTCTAGAAGCATTACAGCCAGTCAAGAAATCCAGTAAACAGAACAAATTCAGTTCAACATGTCAATTTGACTGCATAAAAGCACATCTAACCTGGGAACTGCATTTTACAAGACAAAAACACTTGGCCACGTAGTTTACAGCGAACATTCATGATCTTGACATTCCAAAGAAACAATGACAAAACAGAATGGAGAAGCTGGGGATTGAACCCAGGACATCAAGTGAACAAATGTGCATGACCAGTTCCACCAGCAGAGTAGATCTCAGTATATCCAATCTTGGCGTAATTGCAACACTGGCCCCTGTCTTTCTTCAAAGCAACTTAAAGTGAACAAATGTGCATCCATCCCAGAGGGTCAGTTGGCAGTCGTCTCTCCCTGGTGGTCTAGTGGCCCGGGTTTGATTACCGGTCAGGGATGAATGCTGTTTTGCGCATTCTAACCATATTTGCCAGGATTTTTACAAGTCAAATGGTACAGCAGCAAAAAGGAACAGACATCGTTCAAGCTAGACTTGAATCACAGCCTAAGAATTACAGCATGTAACAATTCAGTCCTCCGCTCCACCATCTGATCTATCAAAGGTGCATTCCACCAAACAAACCGTACATTTCTAGTAGCATTACAGCCAGTCAAGAAATCCAGTAAACAGAACAAATTCAGTTCAACTTGTCAATTTGACTGCATAAAAGCACATACATAACCTGGGAACTGCATTTTACAAGACAAAAAACTTAAGACTTGGCCACAGCGAACATTCATGATCTTGACATTCCAGAAAGGAGGTTTTGAGCTTATGAAACAATGACAAAACAGAATGGAGAAGCTGGGGATGGAAGCCAGGACATCATACAAGCGAAGCATGCGCTCTAGCACTGAGCTACATCCCCTGACATACGCTGACTAAGCAGAGTAGATCTCAGTATATCCAATCTGTGAAACGTAAATGCAACACTGGCCCCTGTCTTTCTTCAAAGCAACATAAAGTCAACAAATGTGCATCCATCCCAGAGGGTCTGTTGGCAGTCGTCTCTCCCTGGTGGTCTAGTGGCTAGGATTCGGCGCTCTCACCGCCGCGGCCCGGGTTCGATTCCCGGTCAGGGAAGAATGCTGTTTTGCACATTCTAACATTATTTGCCAGGATTTTTACAAGTCAAATGGTACAGCAGCAAAAAGGAACAGGCATCGTTCAAGCTAGACTTGAAACACAGCCTAAGAATTACAGCATGTAACAATTCAGTCCTCCGCTCCACCATCTGATCTATCAAAGGTGCATTCCACCAAACAAACCGTACATTTCTAGAAGCATTACAGCCAGTCAAGAAATCCAGTAAACAGAACAAATTCAGTTCAACATGTCAATTTGACTGCATAAAAGCACATACATAACCTGGGAACTGCATTTTACAAAAACTTAAGACTTGGCCACGTAGTTAACAGCGAACATTCATGATCTTGACATTCCAGAAAGGAGGTTTTGACTTGGCCACGCTCTACCACTAGTTTACAGCGAACATTCACAGCCTAAGAATTACAGCATGTAACAAATTCAGTCCTCCGTCTCGCCCTGGTGGTCTCCACCATCTGATCTATCAAAGGTGCATTCCACCAAACAAACTGTACATTTCTAGAAGCATTACAGCCAGTCAAGAAATCCAGTAAACAGAACAAATTCAGTCAAGAAATCCAGTAAACAGAACAAATTCAGTTCAATTTGACTGCATAAAAGCACATACATAACCTGGGAACTGCATTTTACAAGACAAAAAACTTAAGACTTGGCCACGTAGTTTACAGCGAACATTCACAGCCTAAGAATTACAGCATGTAACAATTCAGTCCTCCGCTCCACCATCTGATCTATCAAAGGTGCATTCCACCAAACAAACTGTACATTTCTAGAAGCATTACAGCCAGTCAAGAAATCCAGTAAACAGAACAAATTCAGTTCAACATGTCAATTTGACTGCATAAAAGCACATACATAACCTGGGAACTGCATTTTACAAGACAAAAAACTTAAGACTTGGCCACGTAGTTTACAGCGAACATTCATGATCTTGACATTCCAGAAAGGAGGTTTTGAGCTTATGAAACAATGACAAAACAGAATGGAGAAGCTGGGGATTGAACCCAGGACATCATACATGCGAAGCATGCGCTCTACCACTGAGCTACATCCCCTGACAAGTTCGACCAAGCAGAGTAGATCTCAGTATATCCAATCTGTGAAACGTAATTGCAACACTGGCCCCTGTCTTTCTTCAAAGCAACTTAAAGTGAACAAATGTGCATCCATCCCAGAGGGTCAGTTGGCAGTCGTCTCTCCCTGGTGGTCTAGTGGCCCGGGTTTGATTACCGGTCAGGGATGAATGCTGTTTTGCGCATTCTAACCATATTTGCCAGGATTTTTACAAGTCAAATGGTACAGCAGCAAAAAGGAACAGACATCGTTCAAGCTAGACTTGAATCACAGCCTAAGAATTACAGCATGTAACAATTCAGTCCTCCGCTCCACCATCTGATCTATCAAAGGTGCATTCCACCAAACAAACCGTACATTTCTAGTAGCATTACAGCCAGTCAAGAAATCCAGTAAACAGAACAAATTCAGTTCAACTTGTCAATTTGACTGCATAAAAGCACATACATAACCTGGGAACTGCATTTTACAAGACAAAAAACTTAAGACTTGGCCACAGCGAACATTCATGATCTTGACATTCCAGAAAGGAGGTTTTGAGCTTATGAAACAATGACAAAACAGAATGGAGAAGCTGGGGATGGAAGCCAGGACAACATACAAGCGAAGCATGCGCTCTAGCACTGAGCTACATCCCCTGACATACGCTGACTAAGCAGAGTAGATCTCAGTATATCCAATCTGTGAAACGTAAATGCAACACTGGCCCCTGTCTTTCTTCAAAGCAACATAAAGTCAACAAATGTGCATCCATCCCAGAGGGTCTGTTGGCAGTCGTCTCTCCCTGGTGGTCTAGTGGCTAGGATTCGGCGCTCTCACCGCCGCGGCCCGGGTTCGATTCCCGGTCAGGGAAGAATGCTGTTTTGCACATTCTAACATTATTTGCCAGGATTTTTACAAGTCAAATGGTACAGCAGCAAAAAGGAACAGGCATCGTTCAAGCTAGACTTGAATCACAGCCTAAGAATTACAGCATGTAACAATTCAGTCCTCCGCTCCACCATCTGATCTATCAAAGGTGCATTCCACCAAACAAACCGTACATTTCTAGAAGCATTACAGCCAGTCAAGAAATCCAGTAAACAGAACAAATTCAGTTCAACATGTCAATTTGACTGCATAAAAGCACATACATAACCTGGGAACTGCATTTTACAAGACAAAAAACTTAAGACTTGGCCACGTAGTTAACAGCGAACATTCATGATCTTGACATTCCAGAAAGGAGGTTTTGAGCTTATGAAACTTTGACAAAACAGCATGGAGAAGCTGGGGATTGAACCCAGGACATCATACATGCAAAGCATGCGCTCTACCACTGAGCTACATCCCCTGACAAGTTGACAAAGTAGATCTCAGTATATCCAATCTGTGAATTTGCAACACTGGCCCCTGTCTTTCTTCAAAGCAACTTAAAGTGAACAAATGTGCATAGTCGTCTCGCCCTGGTGGTCAAGACGGTCAGGGAAGAATGCTGTTTTGCACAAAACAAGTCAAATGGTTAAAGGAAATCCAGTAAACACTTGTCAATTTGACTGCATCTGTTCACTTGGCCAGCTACAGACTTGAACATTCACAGCCTAAGAATTACAGCATGTAACAATTCAGTCCTCCGCTCCACCATCTGATCTATCAAAGGTGCATTCCACCAAACAAACCGTACATTTCTAGAAGCATTACAGCCAGTCAAGAAATCCAGTAAACAGAACAAATTCAGTTCAACATGTCAATTTGACTGCATAAAAGCACATACATAACCTGGGAACTGCATTTTACAAGACAAAAAACTTAAGACTTGGCCACGTAGTTTACAGCGAACATTCACAGCCTAAGAATTACAGCATGTAACAATTCAGTCCTCCGCTCCACCATCTGATCTATCAAAGGTGCATTCCACCAAACAAACCGTACATTTCTAGAAGCATTACAGCCAGTCAAGAAATCCAGTAAACAGAACAAATTCAGTTCAACATGTCAATTTGACTGCATAAAAGCACATACATAACCTGGGAACTGCATTTTACAAGACAAAAAACTTAAGACTTGGCCACGTAGTTTACAGCGAACATTCATGATCTTGACATTCCAGAAAGGAGGTTTTGAGCTTATGAAACAATGACAAAACAGAATGGAGAAGCTGGGGATTGAACCCAGGACATCATACATGCGAAGCATGCGCTCTACCACTGAGCTACATCCCCTGACAAGTTCGACCAAGCAGAGTAGATCTCAGTATATCCAATCTGTGAAACGTAATTGCAACACTGGCCCCTGTCTTTCTTCAAAGCAACTTAAAGTGAACAAATGTGCATCCATCCCAGAGGGTCAGTTGGCAGTCGTCTCTCCCTGGTGGTCTAGTGGCCCGGGTTTGATTACCGGTCAGGGATGAATGCTGTTTTGCGCATTCTAACCATATTTGCCAGGATTTTTACAAGTCAAATGGTACAGCAGCAAAAAGGAACAGACATCGTTCAAGCTAGACTTGAATCACAGCCTAAGAATTACAGCATGTAACAATTCAGTCCTCCGCTCCACCATCTGATCTATCAAAGGTGCATTCCACCAAACAAACCGTACATTTCTAGTAGCATTACAGCCAGTCAAGAAATCCAGTAAACAGAACAAATTCAGTTCAACTTGTCAATTTGACTGCATAAAAGCACATACATAACCTGGGAACTGCATTTTACAAGACAAAAAACTTAAGACTTGGCCACAGCGAACATTCATGATCTTGACATTCCAGAAAGGAGGTTTTGAGCTTATGAAACAATGACAAAACAGAATGGAGAAGCTGGGGATGGAAGCCAGGACATCATACAAGCGAAGCATGCGCTCTAGCACTGAGCTACATCCCCTGACATACGCTGACTAAGCAGAGTAGATCTCAGTATATCCAATCTGTGAAACGTAAATGCAACACTGGCCCCTGTCTTTCTTCAAAGCAACATAAAGTCAACAAATGTGCATCCATCCCAGAGGGTCTGTTGGCAGTCGTCTCTCCCTGGTGGTCTAGTGGCTAGGATTCGGCGCTCTCACCGCCGCGGCCCGGGTTCGATTCCCGGTCAGGGAAGAATGCTGTTTTGCACATTCTAACATTATTTGCCAGGATTTTTACAAGTCAAATGGTACAGCAGCAAAAAGGAACAGGCATCGTTCAAGCTAGACTTGAAACACAGCCTAAGAATTACAGCATGTAACAATTCAGTCCTCCGCTCCACCATCTGATCTATCAAAGGTGCATTCCACCAAACAAACCGTACATTTCTAGAAGCATTACAGCCAGTCAAGAAATCCAGTAAACAGAACAAATTCAGTTCAACATGTCAATTTGACTGCATAAAAGCACATACATAACCTGGGAACTGCATTTTACAAGACAAAAAACTTAAGACTTGGACCAGAAAGGAGGTTTTGAGCTTATGTAGTTTACAGCATGCGCTCTACCACTGAACATTCACAGCCTAAAAATTACAGCATGTAACAATTCAGTCCTCCGCTCCACCATCTGATCTATCAAAGGTGCATTCCACCAAACAAACCGTACATTTCTAGAAGCATTACAGCCAGTCAAGAAATCCAGTAAACAGAACAAATTCAGTTCAACTTGTCAATTTGACTGCATAAAAGCACATACATAACCTGGGAACTGCATTTTACAAGACAAAAAACTTAAGACTTGGCCAC